CATCATCCCTGCAACTTCATCCCTGCATCCTCATCATTCCTGAAACTTCACCCCTGCATCCTCATCATTCCTGCAATTTATCTCTGCAATTTCATCATAGCTGCAACATCATCCTCTGTGCATCCTCATCATCCCTGTAAAGTTATCCTTGCAACTTCATCACAGCAGTATCCCCATCATCCCTGCATCCCCATCATCCCTGCAACCTCATCATCCCTGCATCCCCATCATCCCTGCATCCTCATCATCCCTGCAACCCCTCCATCCCCACACCCTCATCCCTGCAGCATCCAGCCAGAGGATCTCTCCCTCCTCAGCACATGGATTCCCCCCCCGGCATATCTCCATCCTTTGGGGAAAACAGGCTGATTTTTGGGGCTGAGCTGGGGCCAGGCAGGTCCTGCTGCCTCAGGCCGGGCTCTGAGCTGTGCCTGCAGCTCCTCCAACCCTTCCCTCATCACCAGCTGCTAATGAAGCACCCGGCTCACACAGTCTGCTCGGGGAGCTGGGATGCTCCCATTGCCACGGTGTGGACTAAAGGCAGAACAYGGATTTTTCAGAAGATGGGAGGGATAGAAACAGTTGCATGAAATTTCTAGAAATTTCAGTCTCTTAAGGACAGAGCAGAGCTTTTCYCTATATTAAAATAGGAGTCAGGCTGAGTCCCTTGAGTGTTGGGGCTACAATTCCAGCTGAACTCACGTGCTCCTTGCTCTAGCACTGCAGAGACAGAGGGATTTTTGGGGTCCTTTCCTGGACATCCCCATCCCCACATCAAAATGGAATTTTGGGTTTGAGTTCTGTGGGAGCAACTCCACAATCCAAGCTCTGGGAGTGGGATCAGCCCTGGYTCCTCCCACCCCTYRGTTCTGGATTTCTAAAATGAACCAYTTGCTCAAGATCTCGTGAATTACATCAAGTCAGAACAAACCCAGCTTGATTAAGATAAAAACATCAGGAAAACCCACTTGKCACTAATTGTTCTTGGTTTGGAACTCGCCCTTAATGTGAGATAACAGTTAATAACCAGAATATATTTAATGAATCCTTTTCCTATCTTTAGCTCACTTTAGACTGTGTGGCATTTAGTCCATTAAAGAATTTTAATTAGCAATTTCCACTTTTCATTCGTGGGAAATGGCGATGGGAATGTATCAGGGGGGACCAACGTGCAACAACTCTTCCAGTTTACTTGGAAAAAAAAAATCTTTTTTTGTTTTCCAAAGCAGACTGTGCATAAAAGTGCTTCTTTGCTCTGCCCAACAGATCACAGAAGTTTCATAATGAAGACCTTCAGGACTGTGTTGAGAATAAAACATCTCCAAGGAAAGGACAAACATCCCAAACATCCCAGACATGGTGACCGACGCTGCTGTGGACCCGRCTGACAGAGGGCCTGTCCTCCCCATTTAAACCAGTTCATATTTCATATATATATATTTATATATGGAATATTTCCTGCTTTATCTGTGTTTTCTAACAAGTGCATTATGTAGAGGGGAACATCTTTGGAGCCAGATTATCTTCGACTCGTGTGCAATATAATGAGACTGAGCAAAGCCAGGAAAAAGGAAGGAGGAGAGATGGAAATAATTTGGATATTATTTCAATTTTTTTATTATTATTTTAAAAAAAAAGTGTCTTGAAAGATTATGCAACCAGAAAGGAAACATTAAGCAGAGCTGCTAAAACCCAGTCCAAGTGTTTTGCTCGGGGTGGGAGGGAGTGGGGGGAAATTCGGGTGCTGTCGCTGTTCCCTGGYGAAGGCCATGGGCTGTTCTCAGCTCTTGGGGAATCATTCCCGCTMCATTTTTCTCACTTTCCTGGAAATGCCCTTTACAAGTAGCTCTGTGCTGTACCAAAGGCTGTGATTTACTTCAAGTCCTTATTAAGGAAGTGACATCTCTGCTGGTGCTGGGGGAAAGGGTGTTGAACAGCTGTGCCTTGCTATCAGGATCACTCCATGAAAAACTATGGAAAAATTAAATTTCCGGGGTGGAAAAGGTCTAAAAACCCAGTTCTTAGCTGGCTGTGCTCCTGCTTCATTTCATGAGAGCCTCATCCACAGTGCTCTAGTCTTGTGGGAATATTATGGTATTGCCTTGCTAATTCTGTAATAATTGGAAATTCCATCCCTCCTTTGCCCGTTGCTGTTTCATTTTGCACACTGAGGTTTAGAGCTGTGGGTTGCCCATGCTGGGCTGAGAAGCTCTTAAACCTGGGCTTTCTGTAACCTCCCTACCTTTCTTGGGACTGTGTGGATCAAAGTTTTCCTGGTGCAAAGGGATAAACGGTCTGCAGAGGGATAAATTATGTACAAAGAGATAAATGATGTGCAAAGGGATAAATTTTGTGCAAAGGGATAAATTTTGTGCAAAGGGATAAATGATGTGCAAAGGGATAAATGCAAATGGCAAAGGGAAAAATTATGTGCAAAAGGATAACTGCAAATGGCAAAGGGCTTGATGTTCTCTCCTGCCTCTGGCTCCCCCTTTTCCCCCTCCCCAGCCTCATCCACCTCCTCACGCTGCCTCCATCCCAGCCTGGAGACTGAAAAACCCTCCCAGCACAGCTCTGTCGGAGGARCAGAGTGAAACTCGGAACAGTGTTGGATTTAAGGGTGAAAATATCATTGGAGGGACTCAGATGATCACAGGAATCTGTGTCTGCGTGGCAATAATTCCCTGGGGATGGCTTRGGAATGTGAATTTGGACTGGACAGAACCAAGTGAGCTGGAGCATGCTCCAAAGCAGAGGCTGCTCCAGGGGAGGTGACAAGAGCCAAAACCATTGTGCAAAACAGACCCTCTGGTTTGCTGCTGATAGTCTCTTGTGTCCAAGGAAAGCCCTGAGGTCCCCACCAGGCACCTGGAAGGTGGAGCAAGGAGCACTCTTCCAGAAAAAGCACCAAAATCCAGATCCTTCCCTCAGTGGAGCTTTTTCCTGCATTTCACATGGAGTATCCACAGGAGACACACGTGGGATGCTTCGAGGCACAGGCTCAGTGGGAATGCACTGAAAACCAACCTCCTCCCTGGAAGGAAAGTTTGGAAATGGGAAAACTTCAACTGGAAATGGGAAAACTGGAAATAGGAATATTCAAGGCGAAGCAGCCAACTGTCTGCACCACCTTTCTGCCTTGCAGAAGATGACCAAGAACTCCACACACAAAATTCGGATTGAGAAATCCCCTTAACGCTGGGAAACRATGAAATTCTTGTAAGGAACGGCTCTACTTTGGTGAGGCCGCGTTGATTTTGTTTGTTTTTGAAACACGGATAATTTCTCGGCTGGAATTGCTCCCCCTGCCACGGCAGGTGCGCTGTTGGTGGTGGAGACTTCACGGGAGAAGAGCTGGGGGGAGCCCAAACACAGAAATCTCTGGGGCTCTGCACAGGTGCAGGTTGGGCWGAACGGGCTGAGATGGCGAGAAAAGAAGCAAAAGTGTTAAACCCAGCAGTTTTGGTCAATTTAATCAGCTGGAGRATGAAGAGCAAATATGGATCTGGCTCTCAGTGGGACATTGCTCCTCTTGCATTTATTCCCAGCATGGAAGGAACCCCGTGGTCACAGGAGCTGGGGGTAAATGGAGGAGAAAGGGCTGGTGCTGCTGGCACCTGGGTTTATCACGGCTTTAACAGCACGAGGGGCAGAGGGAGATCGGGATCGGAGACCGGGATCGCTGGAAGAGTCCACGGAGCAGGTCCTGAGCCCAGGAGATGAGAGCAGGGGGTGCCAGGGCTCGGCGGGGATGCCGGGGAATCGCRGAGGTGAAACGAGCCGCGGTGTGAAATCAATGCGGCGCGAAAGCCGCCTGCACCAATTAGAGCTAATTARAGCGGTGGTTCTCATTATCTTGGTTCGGCCGTGCCCTGCCCGGAGGGCAGCCCGTGGTGGGGGCGGGCAGAAGGAGCTTCTCCGTGGGGTCTTCCAGMAAATTGCTCCGCCGGCAAATCCCCGCGGGTGCCGGAGCGCTCGGAGGGGGAATCGCAGGGTCCGTGCCCTCGGCTCAGCCAAACCCCTCCGGGTGTCCCTCCCCTGGCACACAGGAGCTCTGTCCCCCGCCTGTCTCGCCCCGCAGCTCCCCAGCCCTGAAGTGAATCAGGGCTCGGACCRTCAAATCCCAGAGACCTTAAATGACCCCTTTAAAAAGACCAGGAAAGGCGCCCAGCGTTTGGGGGGTGGGGGCTGAGCCGTTTCCATCGCTGGGAACTCCCAAGCGCTCTTCCCCACTGTGGAGGGAGCTGCTGTCAGACTGAGGGAGACGGAGCTGGGCTTTTTTTGGGASATCTCACCTCCCAAACCCCCGAGGAGCTGCGAAACACATTTGTTTGCAGCCTCCCTGCAGCGTGACAGGTTCGCGGTGTGCTCTTGAGCCTGCGAAGGAGACTGAACAAAGCTTTAGCAATTCTGAAATTGTGAGAGACTGACCCCAAACCCGCTTTTCCACTGTGCTGATGGGTTTGGGCTGCAAATAGGTAAAGCCCCCCATGAAAGAAGGGGGTCCCCGGCTGCCCACATGAGTAAGGGCMCATTAACAGGAGGAGAATTGATTTTTCTGGACCGCAGCACAGACCTGGATCTTGGGAAGCCCTGGTCCCAAAGGTGTTATATTTAGTTTCTTTTGGAACATGATCAAGTAGCCCTTAAAATGGGGGATAGAATGTATCAGTACTAAAGTTATTTTTATTTTCCACCGGTGTTATAGAGAGCTTTTTTATGCTGTGTGTATGTGTGTGTGTGTATGTCTGTGACATAATTATACCTCGTCTGTTTTCAGTAGCCACTTGTTACAGCGTCTCTCTGGTTGGGCTCCAAACTGTATTTTGAATATTAAAGTGGTGGGAAAAACCAGATCCTTTCACCGATCGGGCTGGTGGGTCCCAAGCACCCCTCGCCATCTCACACCGATGACAATCTTGCCAAACGCCGCCTCTCCTCGGTGTTGTACATTCCAGCGCTGACGCCGCCGCTCCGTGCTCTCGTGCTTGGTCGCCGGGCCAGCTGGTTGTAAATGCGCTTTTCCACGATAATTSAGGGTTTGGTGGTCTTTAACTGTCAGTCCAGTGCATCGCTCTGCGTTTCCAGCGCTCTGAGTGCAGCGTGTTACAGATAACCATCGTACCGGGACAGCCGACGGCAGCGGGAGCGCGGMGCTGCGTTTGGCAAGGGAAGACAAATTAAAAATGTATCCAGCCGATTAAAAAAACAAAAAAGGCAGCGATTTAATGATGGCTGACATCAAGAGAAGATCCAAAAAATAGCGTGCTTTGATTCCCATAATCATCCCAAGGCAGGCTGCTCATCTTTATTCATAGCCCTTCAAAGCCGTGCTCCGAGACGCCGGAGCAGCTCGGAGCTGTCGTGCTCAGACGGAGCTCTTTAGACGCTGAACACGTCGACATCTCCGCTCYGTGCCCAGCCCAGAGCTGCTCACCAACCCTTCCCCTTTTTAATTTTAGGGTGCAATTAAAGCGATGAGAGCTCTGCCGCTGGCTCCGCGCTGGAGGAGAGGCAGGGAAAGCGGATCTGGGGAGCTGGGCTGGCGTGGGGTCACGGAAAGCCGCTGCTTTTGATGACGTGGTTTAAGCTGTTTTAAGAAGGCAGCGAAATTAGAAAGGAAAAGATCTCCAGAAGTGTTTCAGGGCACTGAGGAAGGCTCAGGGGACACGGCACGGGGACGGGGCTTAGCAGTGAGGCTGGAACGGGCTGGCAGAGGCAGGGAAGGAAACTGGGAGGATGCTCTGCCCTGCTGGATTTGGGGGAAAAGTCAGGATTTGGTGAGGCTCTGGCAYAGGGTGTCCAGAGAAGCTGTGGCTGCCCTGGAAATGTCCGAGGCCAGGCTGGACMGGGCTTGGAGCWCCCAGGGACAGTGGGAGGTGTCCCTGCCCTTGGGAACGGGATGAGCTGTCCCTTCCAACYCCAACCATCCCGGGGTTCCATCAATCTGTGATTCTGTCATTCCTGCAGTCCCATCCCAGCCTCCAGTCTCTTCCCTCAGGCAAACCCCTGCAGGATTGACATYTCAGAAATGAGCCTCGAGCAGGCTGGAGGCTTCATTACCTCACACACTTGGGTGTTTTCTGAGCCAGGTGTTCAAACGCCGTTATTGCTACTGAATCCTCTTAAAATTAAGAAATTTCTGAGAGAGAGTTTTTCCTCCCTGAGTGCTYCCTSCTCTCCTGCATTGCACAGATCCAGYTGGATGTCTGTCCCTCAACCTGAGATTAAAGCCAAGTAGCRAGTGAATTAAATTATACATTCTAATCCCCATTTTTTTTTAATGTTTCTATTCCCCTTTTTTTCCTGCTTTCTCCAAGATGATGCCATCAGTGCACCTTTAAAGGGAATGGTCTGAGATGGTTCTGACTGATGTTGTCCATAACACATCTCTGACCACTGCAMKGCCAGGCACTGCTGTTGGGTTTTTRATKCATCATTCCTATTCCAGAGGATGATTTCAGAGCAGGACAATTTGCCTGGCAACACACAAGTCATGGATAGAGCTGGAATTATGAATCAAAAGGTATTAAGGGGAAATGTAGTCGGGAAGTGCCTGAAATAGTGGAGTTTTAATRCAAAACTGTGCTGGCTGCCACATCCCATGTGCTGCCATCGGTGCACTGGAATTAGACTCAGTTATTCCAATTCTTGCMGGAAAATCCCCCCTCTGCTGGAGGTCAGGGATTCCAGGGCTGAATTTGGTGCCTTTCAAGGAGAAAAGGCTCTYAATT